GCTTTTCTGTAACCATGCTAGACTACCACAGAACATTTAGAAATCACAAGTGACTGCCCGAGCCTTGCTTTCAGTCTTCATAGCTGCCTCCCTGGTGTGAGCTCTGCTTACAAGCTTGAATGGGTATGAAAATAAGCTCCAAATGAGTTAGAACTGCCAGGCTTCAGAGTAGAACATGGCAGGGAGGGGATGTGGGCACCAGGATATAGGGCTGTGCCCCTGCCCTGCTTGTGGCCTCCTGGAACTCTGTCCCAAAGAGCCTTGTTCCTCCACACTCTCTGGGGTGTTGCTGCTTTCCTGTGAAGAAACAGAGACAAATGAGACGTGGAGATGAAGATGACAAGAATAGTTCTTATCACAGTGCTCTTGGCTCACATCAGTAATGGCAGTGCTCTCGGGCCAGCTCTCAACACCCCTGCCACACCTGTTGGTGCCTATTCTTTAGCTTAGTAGAGTCAGAGTGACCCTGTTTGGCTTGTGTTGCCACCATCTAGCACTGGGCATGGTGCATGGAGAGACTTTGTAGTCGAGGACCTGATGGTAGCAGGTGGTCAGATATAAATGGCTGAGGTCCTTCCAGGAGCTATCATTCTGCAGAGCCTGGCGCGCCCTCTCTAGGAACCTGCATCTGGTACATGAGAACTGACTGTTTTCAGCAAGCTGATGCTGGCTTTTCGACCACTGGCTTTTCCACATGCTTAGTAGATGGTAGAGTAGGACAACTGCAGCTGCTTCCAATCCTGTTGACCTCCCCTCTTAAGAAGACTGCAGAGTTCTATCTGAGTAGTGTATTTTGACTGGGTGCCACCTGACATAGAAATCTCCTTTGGTCGCAGGACTGGGACTTTTATGTATATATTGCTGATGCCAGAGCAATCCAGTAAAGCGTCTGATACAGAATTGAGTGTGCATGCCACAGATCATGATGCCCAGCCAGTGATAGCGTTTCTCTGATTATGATGGGTTACCAGTGCTGGACGCTTCCTCACTGTTGGTGCTGTCTGGTGTGCTTAGGATACCTGGAGCCCTAGGGTCACAGGACTCTTCAGGGGTTGGTAGGGCCAGGGCCTCCTGAGCCATAGTGTCTCTGCATTCTCTGGTCCTCAGCTGCACACATGAGCATTGCACACAGACAGATGGGGAAGTAGGCTCCATCTTGTTGCTGACAGGTCTCTTCACTATCTAGACATGGTTCTGAATGCCAGACAGCCACTTTTGTGGGGGGTGGGAGGGCCATCCCTGGGTTGCTTGTCAGGAAGTTCATCCTCCTTTTGTTTTGTCTTTGGGTCTCAGTCACTTGATTAAACTGTTAGAGGCACACTTTTCCATGTGGAATAGCAGAATTTGAGTGGTCTTTGGTATTAACCCTCAGAGCATCCTGGCTCCATGGGACTTTAAGGACAAATGTTGGTTTGAGCTGGCAGAGCAGGAAGGAAGCTGGATGGCCAGATACAGCCTGAGAGCACAGGCAGTGAGAACTGCAAACCAGGCTTGGACATGAGGGACCAGGACAAGAGTGGATCACACCAGAGTTGGGGTAAAGGGACTGGGAGTGTAAGTCCCTAAGAGACAACTATCCCAACCCTAACCCCACCTTTCAGTCTGTTGATTTCCTTCCAGGGCACTTGGCTTTTTATGACAGCCTGTTTCCACATGGCTCTTGACTTGATCCCCGGGGTCACAGAACTCTGAGGGTGTCTGTCCCTCTTACACTGGAGTGTTTCTGGGTTTCTCCTAAGAGCTGCTGGTCTTTAGCAGCTCATGGCAGCAGCTGTGACTCATTCTTGCCATTTTCTAGTTTGTCTGCTGAAGGATGAACAAGGGCTCATATCTCTATGTGAAAACCTGGAGTTCAAGGAGGGGCCTTGGGGGCAGTGGCATACAGATCTGGTCCATGTTATGAGCACAGATGCCTATGGGACACTGCGGGTCCTGCCTTCCTCCACTGTACAATACACACCACATGCACTGAGAACATGGGTACAGCAAACTTTGCCAGCAGCCTGTGGAGACGCTCAGTTAAGAGTAGGTTCATTGGGACTGAAGCTCAGTGGTTAAGAGCACCTACTGCTCTTCCAAAGGACTCAAGTTCAGGTCCCAGCACCCACACTGGGTAACCATTGTAACTTTTAGCTCCAGGAATCCAGTACCCTTTTCTGGCTTCTGTAGGCAGGCGCACACGCACACACAAACACAAGTGGATGCACATACACAACCCTCCCTCACTAAAATAAATATTTAAAAAGGGTTTGTTTGAACACAATCTTCCTCCCTATTATTTCATGTGTTCTGCTTTTGGATTTAGGATCCATCAACAGAGAGGTAGGGGTTCCACTTTATCCATTTTTAAGTTGTCAGTTTGAATATTTAACATTGATAATTCAGTTATCTTTAAAGTTTTTCTCTGATGTGTGTACTTTTAAGCAGTCAGAGCAAGGGGTACCTTTACTGGGCAGTGAACCCCATTTCCTTCCCTTTCCTTTGCTAGGCAATGAATCTCATTGTTTTCCTTTCCTCTATAGAATAGTGAACCCCATTTCCTTCCTTTTATTGGACAGTGGACTCTGTTTCCTTTGCTGAGTAGTGAACCCCATTTTATTCCCTTTCCTCTGAAGACCAGTTCCAGAAACAGGATGGCAGCAGTCAGTGTGGGGCTGTTACCAAACACCTGGATCTGGGACAGGAGTGAGGTCCTAGGCTTTGTCATGCTTCAACAGAGACTGTTTGTAAAACAGTAGAGGCATTGGCAGATCCGGGCATAAGCTTCAGCCTTGGGCTCTCTTGGGCTCTGCAGGCAAGGAGCATCATCCCATTCAGGTGGGGAGCCCAGTGGGTGTTATGCAGGCCAGTGGTTCAGGGAAACATCCTACTAAGGTGCCCCTAGGTTCTCTGCTGCAAGGTGGACATTACAAGAAAGTTGTAGAATTCATAGAAATGAGGTGAAAGCAGAATTCATAGAAATGAGGATGATAGAGCACTAATTGGCCCCAGAAAAGCAAAACATAGACATGAAATTTTTCAAGAGATACCTCCTTACATTTTGGTTTCTTTAAGCACAAGTGCCACAGAGTTAAAAACCCAAAATTGAGTAGAAGATGGTAGGAACAGAAGACCCAGAGGACTCATCCCTGTTGCAAGGGTCAGAATGGGGTTTTGATGGGTTGTCGGAAGTTGCTGAGATGAAGGCCCATGCTTTACCAGAGGTTGCCCTGTAGGTGTGTATATAGTGTTGCATCTGTGACAGGGAGTGATGCTGCAGGCTGTGTAGTCTTAGGAGGAAAGACTGTCCTGCAATCCTCCCGGCTTCACTGAGATACTGTGGGTTTGGGGTAAAATACTCAGGCCCTGGATATCACTAAAGATTGTGTAGGTTGCAGCAAGGGATCTGCAGGGCCCTCTTACTGGCCTGTGCCTTCACATCCCTTCTAGAAGTATGGAGGCTGAGGAGTGACTTGCTCCCCTTCATGGATGTGCTGGCTAGTTCTATATAAACATGACACATACTAAAGTCATCTGCGAGAAGAGAGCCTTAATTAAGAGAATGCCTCCGTAAGATAGGACTGTAGGCAGATATACTGTAAGGCATTTTCCTGTATGGAAATGCAGGCATGACCTGGAGGCCAGTCTTCTTGGCACACTGCACTTCTGAATAGGAAGCATTGCACACCATGCCCCAGATGTTAGAACACTGAATTCTGAAGTAGTGTGAGTAGTGGGTAGCTGGCCTGCAAATTAGTCTTCACTCTCCACTCTCCTTTTTGTGTTTCTTCAGCATAGGGACCCTGGTGGTATGAGTGCTCACTGACTGATCTGAGGTAATGTGCCAGCCAATCATAGTCTATAAGCTTCTGCTGTAAGTGGTTGCTCACATGCAATAAAGCAGCATAGTTCCCCCAAACCATCTCCAGAGCGGTTTACCTCTGCACCTTTTACTGTCATTGCTATCTTGTCGGGGCACAGAGTGGGTAATTTGCTGTCTGGTCAAAGAGCAACACAAGCATAGGTGGTAAAGTGCCTGCTCAAAGAGAAAGGAATTAAGTTTTGGTCTGAGTTACTACAGATAAATCCTTGGTTTTTGTTTTCGTTTGTTTTGAGGTAGGGGTGGTTTCAAGGCAGGGTTTCTCTGTGTAGCCCTGACTGGCCTTGAACTCTGTGCTGGGATTAAAGGTGTATGCCATCATGCCCAACAAATCCTTGGTTTTCTGTAGACAGATGTTTAGATCTAGAATTGTTGCAGAGAGCTTTAAACAGTGCACAGAGAAAGGGTTAGGACTGAATGTTCTGAATCTTTCTATTTGATTATGGCTTTTCTGGTAGCAGATAGAGATAAGGACAGTGAAAAGGAAAAAGAACAGGTAGGAAATTAAGATGACGTTGCTAGAAATTCTGCTGTGTCACAAAAGAGGACACTTCTGGCAAGAAGGCCTCTCAGCTCTGTCTTCTTTATGCCCTTCCTTGACTGCATTGCTTGAACATCGTAGCTTAAAAAGTGAAGGCTCTCAGCTGCCACCACATTTGGAACCTTTTCCAGCTTTGTGCTAGTCGTGATGATTGCTGGCCAATGAGCAACCCAGAGTCTCTGCTTTTCCAGTGAATGCAAATCCTACCCCTCGGAGACCCTTGAGATGGTATCCACATGACCTTAAAGCATCCAGCAGTTGCAGGCTGCTTATCGAGATGATGGATGTTGGTCTTTATATGTAATGCAATTATTAGAACCCATAAGAATAAATTTAAGCATGCCAGAGGGTTACAAACACCTGGCCTGAACATATATGAGCCCTCAGGATATTTTTTTTTAAGAAGGTACATTACTATGATCGATGTGAAGCTCAGGTGTAGCATCAAATGTGGAGATATTCCAGTCAGAAGGAGCATTCTCATCAGATGCTGAGCAGGCCTTCCTCAGTATTTTGACTAAGTTCTTCTGTGTACCTTAAGACCTTGGAAGGCTGTACCCTCTTCAGGGGACACAACAAATTTCAGAGATTTAAGACAAGTACCTACTGGGTGTTTTACTACATTTCTGGCTCAAGTACAAAGCTCGTGGAATGGGAAGTGCAGCATGCTGAGGTGGATGTCATACTGTGTGTGAACTTGCTTATGATGGGCCACAGCAGAGCCACAGAGGGCTAGACCATAAACAGTTCCTCTCCAGATGACGGGATCCTGACATGTCAGGAAATCGGGACCCAGACACATCAATGCCAGTGCCTTTGCAGAAGCTCTTGCAACATTGAAATCTTAAGTAAGGGGCCGTTGTTTCACTCTCAGTCCTGTAAAAATTCAATGGAAAACAGATGAACCTGGATGGATGGAACAATGGCCTTTAAGAGAAACTGCAGCGTGCTCAGGAAATAGCTGAACAGAAGCACCTGGAACATACCGAACCAAACTTCAGTCCCTGCAACTCTCCTATTTTTGTCATTTAAGAAAGTCAAGGGAAATTGGAGATTATTACATGACTTAAGAGCTGTTAATTTACAGTAATCATTCTTTGTTTCAAGTTAATATTTTTGGTTACTGGAAAGGTCAAATAATCATTATCCCCCATGGAAGCCCATATAAGTTTTAAGACCAATCACTGTGAAGAATTTTTCTCCTGTTCAAACTCTGTACCTGGAGCAGATATCATACTGATGTCCAGTTCCCATAGAGAAATGGCTTGTGTAACACTCAATACTACTACCCAAGAGTTTAAAATTTCGAAGGTCATTCTAGGGAGAGCTTCTCCAGAGTTGAAAATTGTTTGTGTAGCCATAAAACCCAATCCTTTGCCTATTAACCTGTATACTGACAGTACTTAATGTATTCACCTTGTTCCAAAATTACCTACCGCTTTCATAAAGACTAAAATTGCATCTTCCTATGATTTTGCAAGCTGTATTACAACAGCAACTACATCCTATCTTTATATCATATCAGACCCCCATAATTCTCTGGAGACGCTAAATAAAGGAAATGCTCTTGTTAATGAGGCATCGTGGCCTCCCTCTGGCAGGACTATGCACAATCACTTTCATCAGTCTGCATGGTCATTAAGCGCCTCTTTCCCACTGTAACTCATCAGCAAACAAAATAGATTGAGGATGTAATGCCTGTGCCCATTTCTCCCTTTAGGTCCTTTGCAGCCAATAGGGGTCAGTCCCTGGGGATTAAAGTCACTCGCATTATGGCAAGTGGGTATCATGCATGTTACTTCAATTGGTAGGCATAAATATGTTCATGTCATGGTAGACACTTAGTCTTACTTTCTTATGGCCACAGTAGTGACAGGGTGAAGGCCTATCATGTCATTACTCACCAAAATGTTTTGTGATAGCAGGGGTGCCCTGTACTATAGGAATAGATAATGGCCCTGCTCCTGCTCATCTCTCCTGCCTTTAAACAATTTTGTCTCCATGGAAAATTCCACATGTTACTGGAATTCCTTATAATCCCCAAGGTCAAACTGTAGTGGATAGAGCACACGAACAGTTCAAAGAACAAATTGATAGGTGGGGGTGGGGGTGAGTCTGAGTAAGGCTCACCCTCAATATCTTATTAATATGGCATTATTTACTTTAAATCCTTAAAAAACAGATGACAAGGGAAATACTGCAGCTCATAAACATTGAGCACCTTTGTAAGGACCTACAAGGTTACCTCTGGTGCCCTGCAAAGATGTAATAACGGGTAAATGTCAATCATCAGCCCCATGATTTACCACTGGGAGAGATTTCCTGTGTATTTTTCCAGAAATGGACTGCAGCCCATCTGGATCCCAGACTGGCTCCCCAGACCCTGGACAGCTGAGACCAGCAATGAAGCAGATAAAATTGGGCAGCTGCAAGAGACAGCGGCAAACACCTACTCTGCTCATGTGTTTACTTATTGTACTGACTCTAAGTAGTGCCAGAACTGAAAATTAGTATGCAGTGGTACTTAGCCCACCCTTGTTATCAGGGGTGGAGGTCAGAGGACCTTGTCCATAGCTGTTTGCCATTGGCTCCAACCTATTTCCTGATATGGGTCCTATAAGAGAAGATTCTAAAATTTAGAATGGATACCCTCTTTGCTTTTATAATGGTTATAATCTGTTTGCCTTTGTTATTTTCTCTTCAATTGTAATATTCTACTCATTGATCAGCTCATCTGCTCTTAGAAAAGCAAAACAATATAGAAGGAACTGTAGGAGAAAATACAGGCGTGTCCTGGTGACTAGCCTACTTGGCACACTGTGTTTCTAAATAAGAAGCATGGCACACCATACCCCAGAAGTCTGAATACTGAATTCTGAAGTAGCTTGAGTAACCATTAGCTTATCTCCCCGTCCTTTACCAACCCATAGGCATTGTTGTCTTGTCGGAGACTGCCCCAATAATGATGGCATTTTCTTAGTGATTTATGGGGAGACCAACCCATGGTGGGTGGTGCCATCCCTGGGCCTGTGGTCCTGAGTTCTATAAGAAAGCAAACTGAGCAACCCAGTAAGCAGCACCATCCGTGGCCTCTGCGTCAGCTCCTGCCTCTGTGTTCCTACCCTGCTTGAGTTCCTTACTGCTTTTGATGATGAACTGTTACATGGAACTGAAAGTTTTGGTCATGGTGTTCACCACAGCAATAGTTGGCGATGCCATCTGCTGTTGAAGGGCTCTTACAACTTCCCTGGGTTGAGAACTTTGTGAATAAAGGACTCCAGACTGCTTCAATGTCCATGATGGGAAGTATCCTAGCAGCTTTACAGACCTCTCCCTCTCCATGTGGAAAAAAGAATCTGGATCTAACTAACAGCCAGGTTTTGGCTCTGAGAAGACATTATGGAATGCCTGGTCTATAGATATTGAGAACAGAGAGTAATGACACTATGTTTTGGTGTGTAGCAGATGTCCACACAAGGTAACAAGGGTGACTTGAGCTGCAGGATAGATGTCAGAAGAGAGGTGCTGTGCATAGCTCGTGCTGTCCCCCTGACCCAAGCCTTCCTGAAGTCTGAGGCCCTTTCTTCTTATCTCACATGTCTCTAGACCAGCTTTGACCACTTGGAAATTCCTTTCCAGAACTATGATATTCACCAGAAGCTGAGAATTAGGGATGCCTGACTGGTTGCTTGCAGTTTGCTGGCTAGTGGCAGTGGCAGACTCTGCTCATTTCACGATTCCAGAACCATGAAGGACCTCTGGAGGTCACCTAAGCTGCTTCGCACTCCTTCCCTGTGTGGACAAGACAAAGACATAGCCGGAAAAGAACTTAGGTCCTGCCATGCAACTTAAGAGAATAGCATTGGCAGGGCGGAAGCCAGCATGCAGTGTGAGATTCTGGGACACTTGGCACAATAAGTACGTGCTCCGTTCTCAGCCCCCTTCCAGCTCAAGAGTCAGAAATGCAGAGAAGAGGCCTGGCCACATCACATGTTTGGGGCAGAGCCAGATCTGTGCTGCTGCTCTTGTGAGATAAAGTAGAAGGAAGAGAGCCTAGGGGCTTGAACACGAAGTCAGAAAGCCTTTTAGTTCATCTTGTGGCTACCTCCAGAGCTGTAAGCACCAGCCTCCAAAGGCCTGCCATTTCTTATGTCTTCCAACCCAGCAGAGAAGGCTGCAGCTTCTAAGCATCCTTTATCAGTGTTGGGGTAGACATTTGAATTTCAGAGCATGGACTTGCCTGGAGGGACATTGCCAGCCTTCTGCTGAGCAACTTGGCACAGGTACTTTCCTCTTCCAGGGATGAAAAAGGGCAGTTGTGGTTCTTGAGCCTGCATTACAAGGGTAAAATCAAGGTTACCCTTGGCAAGTTGTCTTAGTAGCATCTAAGCTCGGGGTTCCTGGGGTGAAGCGCCATTGGGACACAGTGGAAGCAGAAGTGGGGTCTGGCCCTGCTCTGCAACTCTTTACCCTCCTGATTGATCCAAGAGGAGCATGGTATGTGGGCCTCAGACTGTCTCTTTCTATCTGAATGATCATGAGTGACCATACCTCTTCAATCCTATTTCTGTATCCGTTAGATGGGGACACTAATATTCCCACCCACTGACCATGCATGGGATGGGTTGTCACAGTGGGACTGTCACTCCCTGCCTGGCAAAACATAAACATTGTGATGTAACGCACAATGGCAGGGTGTGACACTTGTTGCTAAGAGTCTAGTCCAGCTAAGGGCCAAGGCCAGTGTGCCTGAGGGGACTTAGTGAAACTGTGGCCATGGGCACCAAGTTCACAAGGGCACATGTGACCCCCAGCTGGAACATTTGTCTGGATTCGGGTTGGAGAAATCAGTTCCAGCAGCCGAGGGGTTCAGGCGATGCAAGTACCCACAGGTGGTCTCACCAGGGAGGCATCCATGGGGAAGACTGGCTGAGCCATTTCTCAGGCAAGGTACTATGGACTGGGCAGTGCAGGTCCCGCTCTGCCCCCTCTACTTCCCATTCATGCCTGTTTGCCTCCCCCCTTCCGGTGGTGCAGATTTGAGCGTCATGGTTCTAGAGCTTTTTATCCCTGTTCTATGTACAAGCATTTGTAATTTATATAAAGTTTCTAATTTTTGAAGAGTCTACCCTGACCTCCTACCTTCCAGTTCATTTCTGTGCCACACATCTTCTCATGCCATCCCCAAGGAATAGTCTCTTACCTGCCTGGAATGTGATGGTATTACACCAAACCAAATTGCTGGGTGGATCAAAGTTACAGGCATACTGGTGCCTAAGGACTTCAATATCTCCTGGTTGTTGACAGAAGTCTGTTTTCTACTAGTTCACGCAGTAAGAGCCTTTGCCCTACCCTAGCCTGTACTTGAGATTTCTCTCTCTCTCTCTGGGGTTTGCTAGTCTATGGGTGTAAAGAACTCCCTGAGTACTGCTTGCAGCAGCCCTGTCTTTTCCAACATGATATTTAGGACTTAGTTTAAGTCCCTTGCAGATTTTTAAGAGAGAGACAGTCTCTCCCTCGCCCTCTCCTTCTCCACCCCCCAACGTGTGTGTGGGGGCGGGTAGGTAGGTAGGTAGGTATGCATACATGAGTGCATGTCCCCACAGAAATCAGAGGGAATCCCCTGGAGCTGGAGGTAATCAGTTGTGAGCCACCTCATGTGGGTGCTGGGAATTGAACTTGGTCTTCTGGAAAGAGCTCTTGACAGCTGAGCTATCTCTCCAGCACCCCCTCTTGATTTTGGACATAACAGGAGATAGTGCTTATAGTCTGCAGTTGTTCAGGATATCTGTTATGAACAGACATCTTTAGTTTTTGAGGGAAGAGGGTGTGCATTCATGTAGCTTTAAGCTGTGAAATGGTACTTAAAGAGTACCACCTTTTTTTCTTTTCTTTTCTTTTTTTTTTTTTTTTTTTTGGTTTTTGGTTTTTGGTTTTTAGGAGACAGCGTCTCTCTGTATTGTTTTGGAGGCTATCGGTCCAGCCCAGCCTCGAACTCACAGAGATCCGCCTACCTCTGCTGGGATTAAAGGCGTGCGCCACCACCGCCCGGCAAGAATACCACCTTAATTTGCAGAGGTGTATTGGCCTACATGCTCTTCTAGTTGTTCTGTGGTTTTGCTGTTAGTGTTTTCATTGAAACCCTGGTATGTGGATGACCTAGAGAAGGCAGAATGGACAGATATTAGTCTACATGCTGTAGGCTATAGGTGCTTCGTGCATTGTGAAGCTTTTTTGTTGCCTGTATCTACCCAGGCCTGATTGCAGAAAGTGAGCTTGGCTGTGGAAGAGACAAGGGTAGCCATTGCCTCGCCAGAGGAAAACAGGGTAGTCTAGGACATGGATCCAGGAACACTGTCCACAAGAGAGCTTCTTTTCCTCTCATTTGGGGATCCATGGGTCAGCCTCGTGACTGTTGAACCTCTGGTGTATCAGGAAGTGTTGTCTGTTTGGGTTCCTTGTGACACCGAGGACTTCCCTGAGGAGGACAGGGTAGGAATTTCCTCACAACCTCAGGACCAAGGAAACTCAGGTGGGAACATGAGGTTGACAGTAGTCTTACCTGATTCTAGTCACACTAGGGTCACAAGTTCTTCCTGCCACTTGTCCTGAAATGTCTGCCTGCCGAGGCAGCTTCCCGCACTGGGAACTCAGGTGGCCGGAGTTCCTGTTTGATTGTGACTGCAACTGCTGTGTGCTATGGGCCTGCGCAGTTTGTGACTCATTAGCAGATGTTCTTTCCCTTCCTGAAATCTTGTCTTCTGGGCTTTGAACTTTGAGGAGGTGAGCAGGTTTCCAGATGCTAAAATACACATCTGGATAGTCATCTCCAGTCAGCACTACTGTGAAAGATGGAAACTGTCTCTGTGTGGTGGTTCCATGGGGCTACTGAGGCTCAGTCAGGTTGACTCTCTGTTCCTCTTGCCACCAGTCCTCCTCCTCCTCCTCTTCCTCCTCCTCTTCCTCCTCCTCTCCTTTTCTTCTTCATTTCTGAGTGACCACAAAGCCCCATTTGAAGAGGAGCAAGTGTGTTGGTGTTGCAGGGTGTGTTGTGGAGACTGTTTTTGTTTTCCTGTTTGTAGTAAGGAAAGGGAAAAGCTAGGTTATTAAGTCACTGCTCCGTTTCAGCCATATATACATTAATAAACTGCTGAACTTCCAGCCTTGCTGAGGAGACAAAACAGGCTTTGCCTGGGCTGCAGGGACTTTGTGCAGGGAATATAATTAACAATGGGTTCAAGAGTCCCACCCTTTAGTCAGTAGCCACAGTGATGCTGGGCCTCTGACCTCCAGGGGTCTTGGCTGTCAGCAGGATTCTGGCTACTGCCAGACGAGGTCATTTCCTCAGATGCCAAGAGCTCTAGCACTAGGGATAGCCTTTCCCTGGAGCTATTGTAGCCACCATCTCTCACTCCTTTTGCGTCTGCATGCAGTGGCTGCCTGCTTGTCCCTTTGCAAGGTGTTGTCTTTCTCCCTCTCGCAGGTCATCTCCAGCACCCCTCCTCTCAGCACGGGGAAAACACTGTGGAAGTACCACAGCACTGCAGAGAGGGCTGCCCCCTGTTCAGAGCAGGCCCAGGCATGCCTTGCTCAGAGGCTTTCAGACTGAGCAATGTCCTGGAGAGTCAGTGGGTAGAGACTTCCTAAGAGAGTAGTTAAGAGTTTTGAAGACATTGGTAGGAAACAAATGAGAACGTACTCGATCCTTTTTCTGTGCTGTTCTCCATGGACCCTCCCGTTAGCACTGGTTCTCTTTCAAGGCCATAGCTGAAGGATGGAACAGGCTCAGTTGGTAAAGTACTGGTGCGCCAAGCATGGTGACCTAAGCTCGCTTCTGCAGCATCCACAGAAGCTGAGTGTGACTGCACACGCCGGGAACGCTATGCTGGCAGTTGGAGACAGGAGGATCTCTGGGTTTGATATCCAGCTAATATAGCCAGATGTATGAGTGAACGCCAAGTTCATCAGAACCTTGTCTGAAAAAATAAAGTAAGAACAATGAGGAAGGTGCTTGACGTTGACTTCTGGCCTCCACCTACATGTGCACATGTGTGCATACACCACAAACACAGAGGGTGAAAATATTTTCATAGCTACTTCTAATTTAAATAATTATTTTCTCTCTTTGTATGTGAAAAGGGGTAGCCAAAACTTGCCCTTGACAAAGCAGATTAGAATCTGAGCTTTGTCATGCAGGCTGTCCCAAAAGTATTTTGAAAACTACCTTGAGCTTCAGCCCAGGCAGTATGACTGCAATCTTAGCCACAGTTCTCAGCTACTCTAAGCCTCAGATTCTTCATCTATGAAGTAGGGGACAGTTGCTGCCACTTAGGGATTAGGCAATGTATGCCTGGTGCATATTAGGCACTCATTAGGCGGGAAAATATATAATACTGTCATTGGGAAGTGAGTAATTTAACATGTGAGCATTTGGTTACGTGTTACCTGCTCCCCCATCTGCCTGAAGACCTGCCAGCCTCCCTGAGCCCTGCACCTTGCTCATCTGCCTCCTTCCCTGACCTACCAGTTGGTTTCTGCCACAGGACCTTACCTGGAGTTATATACTCAGAAGCCCGTTGAATGATTTATTTCTGTTGTTAATAAATGGGGGGGGTTGCTTGTCTGGTAACATGGGGTAGCCATCAGTGTGTGGAGTTGGGATGACCCTTAGAGTGGCATGAAGGGCTCCTACTGGCTTATATAGCAGCAACAGATAGGCTAACCATTCTGGAGGCTCTAGCGAATACACACCTTCCCCTAACCTTAAGCTCTGTCTCACAGGTTGGGAA